TGAGGACTACGCTCGCGGCACTTGGGTTTGCTCCTTCCACTGCCGACCCGTCGCTGTTTCTGCGCACCGACACCTCTCTGCCGCCGTGCTACATCCTCGTGTATGTCGACGACTTGGTCTTTGCCACAGCTGACACTGCTGGACTCGCCTACGTGAAGTCCGAGCTGCAGAAGAGACACACGTGCACAGACCTGGGTGAACTGCGCAGCTACCTTGGCTTGCAGATCACCCGGGACAGAGCACGCCGCACCATTACCCTGACTCAGTCACACATGGTGCAGCAGGTCCTTCAGCGCTTCGGCTTCACGTACTCCTCGCCTCAGGCCACTCCTCTGCCTACTCGCCACTCGCTCTCAGCTCTGCCTTCGGATGAGTCCGTAGAGTCGAGTGGCCCGTTTGCAGAGCTTGTTGGCTGCCTCATGTACCTGATGACCTGCACACGACCTGACCTCGCATACCCTCTTAGCATTCTCGCACCCTTTGTTGCTCCTGGGAGACACCGACCAGAGCACATGGCTGCAGCGAAGAGGGTGTTGCGCTACTTGTGCAGTACGTCGGGCATGGGGCTAGTGCTTGGAGGGCGCAGTCCAGTGGTCCTCACTGGGCACGCAGACGCTTCTTGGGCTGACGACCAGGCTACGCAGCGGTCGTCACAGGGTTACACCTTCAGCCTTGGTTCCGGCTTTGTCTCGTGGCGGGCTACCCGCTCGTCTTCTGTTCTCGGCTCCAGTTGTGAGGCTGAGATCTACGCTGGGGCTATGGCTGCACAGGAGTTACGCTGGCTCACCTACCTGCTGACCGACCTTGGAGAGCAGCCTCGTTCTCCTCCAGTCCTGTACGTAGACAACAAGGCCATGCTGGCCTTGTGTCGAGAGCAGCGACTGGAGCACAGAACGAAGCACATTGCTCTTCGCTACTTTCTTGCTCGTGAGCTACAGCAGCGTGGACAGCTGCGACTTGCGTACGTGGCCTCTGAGGCCAACACTGCTGATGTCTTCACCAAGGCACTTGCGCCTTGTGATCATCAGCGTTGCTGCACGCAGTTGGGTCTTGTGCCTGTCTTGCCTCACTTGCTCTCCTCTTGACCTTGCTTGTACTTTCGCATATATATACTCTTGCTCTTGTATATCTCTATATATATGATCTTGCATGTGAACTGGCCTTGTGGCGATTGAACTTGTGCTCGGAATGCGTGGTGACTTTGTGATCCACCCTGAGCTTTACTTTACTTTGCTTGACTGGTCTTGTGACCCCTTGTTCTCCCCCACTTTGCCTATGGGGGTGTGTCAGAACTTATAGCTTACTTGTTTCTGTAGGCTATAGTGGGGTATCCCATAGGGGGTACAACCCAATTAGGGTTTCCTATTTGTACTCACTTCGTTCATAGTCATTCCATTCTCGTTCTTTGTTTTCACAGATTTTAACTAAGTCCGTCCCAATTTTCCCACTGAGCAGTATAGGGCTGTCTACCGTGGTACCCTCCTTATTCGGCCGGGTGTGGTCGATTGCGTGAACCGGCACAATCACTCGGTGAGGGTCGGTTGGGTCGGGCGAGCGGCGTGACCTGTCAGTAGGGGGCCCGTCTGCTACTGACTTCCAGCGTTTCCCTACTGCTTGGTCTGTGTCTGCTGCTCAGCTTCCCCCTTTCCCTTAGCGTTTTCCGGGCATTCGCTCTTGCGATGTCCCGGCCGATTGCACGCAAAGCAGCGCCCTTTGAACGGTGCGGCAGCGGCATTTGCGGCGACGGCGCGTATCGTGGCGCTTTCGTTCGTCCCACGAGGCCGATGTCCCCAATTGTTGTTTCCGTAGGACCCCGGTCTCGGTCGGCGAAAGAAGTCGAGCTTCTCCGCCATAGCGAGAATTTCCTGAAATTCGGTGACGCCGCGAAGCTGGATTTCCTGAGCGATGTCCTGCTTCAGGCCGCCGATGTAGCGGTCGATGCGCTCGCTCTCATGCATGTAGCCCACTTGTTCGCATAGCGCCAAAAATCCGCTCGTGTAGTCCTGGACGGAACCGAGTTGGCGCCAAGTGCGGAGCTTCTGTCGCGCCGCGATCGAAGCCGCAATTGGCTCAAATCGAGCGCGCAAACCTGCGCACCACGCGTCCCACGTGCGATACTGGGGCACCTCCACGAAATACGACGGCGCCCAGGGTCCGGTTTGTCCTTCTCGTGTCGGTAGTGTCGCGTAGTCTGTCGGCTTCGTGACGATGACGCGCCACCAGTCCATGGCGGGTCCTCGCAGCAGCGACACGGCGTATCGAATCTTCGCCGAGTCCTCCGAGACGTAGTTGGCGTCCAAGAAGACATTCATTGTGAACAACCACGCCTGAACGGTAGGACCACCCCGTTGACTCGGGTCAAAGCATGGCGGGCGCTGCGGCTTCAGCGGCATCGGTGACGGCAGTCCCGAATCGTGGGTTGGTGCCGAAATCGTGACGCGAGGCTGACTTGGGGCCGCATGCGTCGCTCTGGGGTGTGTCGTGCCGTGGTCGTCGTCTCCGTCGGGGCGGACGACGCCATCACTGGCCGCGCTCGGGGGTTGCCCCACACTCCCGTGTTGTGATGTTGAGGGTGCAGGTTGAATCGGAGTGCCAGGTGCTTGAGATTGTGCTTGTTGTGCCCTCATGAGGTCATTTTGCAGCGATGAGCGTTCTGCCGTTAATGCCGCGATTTCCTCGGAGCTTTCGTGCAGCTGTCGCAGCAGATCGTTCAAACGCTCCTGCGTGAGGGTGGTGACGTCGATATTTTCAGCCATGATGAAGGGCGTCGGCTCGTCTTAGTCTAGGCGCAGTCGTGGCTGCACGCGTTTACGAGAGAACGCGAGGACAGCGGCTCCTAGGGGCTAAGGTGCGTGAGTCCCTTCGAGTGAAAAATCAAAAGTTGATTTCCTGGTGTGCGGAGATGCGCGGTCCGAAAGAAAGGGGCTCTGATAACCAAGTGTTACGGGTGCAATGAATCGAAGTAGCGAGAATTGCACTAAGGTGTCAAACGAGTACAAAATGTGAGCGAAGGCATGAGCGAACGTTTATACGCGAAACATGCAAAACGGTAACGCGGTGCGTGCAAGCTTGCTAGTGCTACGCTGGAACGAGGCTCGGGCTAGTCCCGAAGCGTAGGCCGGTACGGCCATGCCAGCAGTGCGAGGTTTGGCAAAACAGTGCGCGCGAAGTCGGCGAAGTTCCGTTAGCAGTAACGGGCGAACAATCGGCTGTTGCTGTACGCGATGTAGTCGGCTCCGTAAGGAATGCCGAGAAAATTCCTTACAAACAACTTCCACAGACATTGGTGATGTGTCCGTACATGCAAATCACAATGGATGCACCATTACGAGAGTGATGTACATGTCTAGTTCATAATATCATAATACTTCAAGAGACTCAAATTTCTGGATATAATTTATAAACAAAAATTACAGATTCTGATCAACTACCTTTAAATGCAAAATCATACTATTTATTTAATTTCATTCATGTGTTAACATAAATTGGGATATTAAAAAATAATAATATTTACATAGACACATGAATTATATTGTGGCGGAAATGGGTCTTACTAAACTATGCAATTTTATTTATCAAATGCAGACTGATTCCTAGAATGTACATCCTAGTTGTAACAATAAAGGGTCCATTCTCCACGCGGATCTAGCCCCATCAAGAGTTGTCTGCTTTGTCCTTGGCGCTTCCACGTCGTGTGTGGCAACCTCTTCGAACCAACCAGAGCGGGGTAGGTAAAATCTGAAAACAGGTTCCATCCGAAGCTGCTTCTTGGACAATGATTGGGTTCCTTTCCGCGAAGCGGTCTTCCTAGCGTCGGCGCTGGTCCCGAATGAATTTCGCACAACGCCTCCCCCAGCCGCTGATCGCGTGAATCCGACGACGATCCGACGGATGTTCGGTTTGGCTGGGGCAAGGCAAACCAGTAACAGCGATTGGTGTGATGATGGAGCCTCGGTGTGACCCTAACGGATCATCACACCACAAGAACAGTCGGTGTAGTGCGAGGTTTCGTACGTTTCCGTATGGTCTAGTTCGGTCCATTTACAGGCTCTCCTTCCCTTTTCCAACCTCGGAGGTTGGTCGGTTCACCATGAATTTATCATTTCCGTCAGAATATCCTTTCTTAGTTGGACCGAATCACAGCGCACACATCCGAGAATGCAGGGTCCTGATTCTTGACTATGACGTCGACGGTATTGTTCAGCTTAAATACAAGCCGGTATCATACGTTTGGTCCCACCCTGATCGCGCTAGCTGCAAGATTTACGGCTTGTTTCGCTGGTCTGAAGAACGGAGCTGACCTGAATTTTCTGTCCGCGATTTGACGTCGCAGACGTTTTGACGATAGAAATCCTCGCATACTACCGAGGCGATAGTTATCCTTCAGAGTTGCGAGTTCATTCTCAGATTCAAAACCTATCGTCGGATTTCGTGGTTCAAGACTCTGTCCGCTGGCGATATTTTCCGGCCTTTTAGCTTCTGGCCAGCAAGAGAATGGTTTTCCATCAACCAAGATTCAGGCTTAGAAGAATGGCGAACTTTAGATTCCTGGTGCTAGTCGTCGTGTTTGCAGCACACATGGTGCTAATTGAACCCTGCGTAACCGGAAAGTCATGGCTGGTACCGTCCTCAGCCGATTCCTCCTCTGCCAGTGCTCTTCGATCCACCGAGGCGACACCATGGCTAAGGGTTTTCCGTTCCTGGATGCCACGGAGGTAAGCCTACTTTATTGCCTGGAGACTTTTCAAGGATGTGTTACGACATCTCCCACCTTCCCGGTTCCTCCGTCCCCGGCGGCTCTCCGCCTATCCTTGCCTGATGCTCACTGTCACTGTTTTCGCGCTCGTTCAGGGTGTTCACCAGCCAATCGAATCGCCGGGAGATGCAATGCCAGAAGGAGCTGGAGAATCTCAGGCGATGGTTCCAGAAAACGCATCAGGAGCTTCGAATTGGACCAGGTAAGGTTTGAATCGACTCAAAAACCACTTCACTTTGAAGCGATGGTTACAGGTAAGCGTCAGGAGCTTTGAGTGGGACAAGGTCAGAAATAACAGCTTTGCATGACGGCCTTTGGCAGAGAAACCACTTTCTCCACTGATCCACCCTCTCACTCCTCGTTTTAGTTTCAACTTCGTTAGGGGGTTCGGGTTTTGGAGTCCCCAGGAGCCTTCAAAGGAAGTAAGGATTCCTCACTCTCTTGCCATTTTACATTCCCCTTTTGCCATCCTTCCCAAATTTCCGGATCTATCCCTCTCGCCAGGTCGTCAAGCCGATCCTGCTGGCTTGGAGTCCCACCGAAGCACACCTGCTGCTTCGGATCCGCACCAAACCAAGCGTGCTGCTTCCGAAAGGTCCTTCAGGCTGGGTGACTCCTGGTCCCTGCGGGGCCTGGAAGGGGGGTTCAGTCGGGATGGGAATGGTGAATTGGGCAAGGAGAATGACGGAGGGCGTGAAAAACAGGTGGAGAAGAAGGGTGAGAAAGGGAGGGTAAAGAGCATGGGCTTTAAAGGGGATAGGAATGTGCAGGAGGACAAGGAAGGTGACGACGAGTGGGACAAAGAGGAGGGGGATGAGAAGGAGGAAAGCAGGAGTTTAAATGAGGGTGAAGAGGAGACGAATGGGGAGAGCAAACAGTTCCACGTCTCTGATGACTTAGAGCTCGTTCTGAGCCACGGGCAAGCCCGGGTGAGAAGGAGATTAGCAGAACGACGCCAGACCCGCGCCAGGCTTGCAGACTGCGTGCCGTGCACGAGTGATAACGATGGAGAAGACTCGAAGCTCCAGGGATTTCAGTCAGGACAGGGCGGTGAGAGGGACGAGAATGCAGGAGGAGGAGATTCTGGGAGTGAGTTGGAGGGGTCGAGGAAGCTTCTGCAGGAATCTGCGCCATGCTGTGACCCGCTGGTGCTGAAGCTTAGGGTGCAGACAGCGGATCTGGAGAGGCGTATGGGGCAGATTGCAGAGAAACAGGTGAGTTTTGATGAACAGGTGAGGTTTGATGAACAGGTGAGCTAGAGTTGAAGACCACGTGAGGCAAGCACAAGGGGGACACGTGCTGTGACCCGCTAGTTGTGAGGCTACGGGAGCTGATAGTGGAATTGGAGAGGCTTATGGGGCAGATTGCAGAGAAATAGGTGAGTCATGTAGTAGAGGGGATGAACAGTGAGTCACGCCTCAGTGGATGAGCAGGTGAGCTCTTTGACAGAAACTCAAAACCCTGAACCCTGGAACCAGTCAGTTCTTTCTATTTCAGAGACTGCAAGGGCCCACTTTGATTGTTGTTGCTTTAAACCCGAAACCCTCACTGTGCTTCTCAAGTCTCAATATTTCAAGATCTGATTGTTATTCTGGTGTACCCCTTATTGCGTGATGCATTATGGCAGGCGGAGAGCAAGAGGGTGAGCCGAGAGAAGTACGTGCTGAACAAGAAGCTGAGCAGAGCTGATGCCAATTGGGAAGCATTGTTTCTATCGAACCAGGTGAGGCCTTCTTCCCCAGTTGGCAGTTGCACACGGCGCCTGTTTTCAATATGAAGCGAGGTGCCTTGGAAAACTGAGCAGAGCAGCCATTGATTCAAAAGAAAGCACTCCTGCCAAAACCAGGTGAGGCTTCACGCCCCCAGTGCGCAAGGCGTGTTTTTTTAGAATTCTCAAAAAACTGAGCGGAGCAGCCATTGATTCAAAAGAAAGCATTCCTGTGAAAACCAGGTGAGGCTTCACGCCCCCAGTGCGCAAGGCAAGGTTTCTGAGACGATTGTTGCGGTGGATAAAAAGTAGTCAAAACCCAGTGATGTGACGCTGCATTGCCCAGTGATGTGACGCTGCATTGCCCAGTGATGTGACGCTGCATTGCCCAGTGATGTGACGCTGCATTGCCCAGTGATGTGACGCTGCATTGCCCAGTGATGTGACGCTGCATTGCCCAGTATATGCACAAGTCGAGGCCAAATGCAGGCGCAAATGATGGTGCAGCAGTGCAGCGGTGCAACGGACAGCAATGTGTTGCCCCTTTCCTTCTCTGCTTCTCATTCCCCCGTTCGCCCCACCACAGTCGATGCACGAGGCACAGATGACAGTGCAGCGGTGCAACGGGCATGGCATTGTGGCACAGCAGGGGACACTGGTGTGGAAGGTGAGTGGAGGGGATGAGGGTGTGGGGGTCAGGGTGGAGGTAAAAGTGGGTCTGGAGGTGGCTGTGGTTGTTCCATCGTGCATGGGTGGGTGGTGCAACGGGCATGGCATTGTGGCTCAGCAGGGGACACTGGTGTGGAAGGTGAGTGGAGGGGATGAGGGTGTGGGGGTCAGGGTGGAGGTAAAAGTGGGTCTGGAGGTGGCTGTGGTTGTTCCATCGTGCATGGGTGGGTGGTGCAACGGGCATGGCATTGTGGCACAGCAGGGGACACTGGTGTGGAAGGTGAGTGGAGGGGAGGGGAGGGGGTTGTGGGGTTGGTGTCCTTTTGTGCATGGGATGGCGGGTCAATGGGCAAGGCACTGTGGGTGGCATGGCTCCAGAACACTCATCAAGGGTTTGGGGCTCTGGGGTAATACATGACATATGACAAGTCTCACTGAGGGCCCACAGCGGCCCTCAGTGGACCATGTCTCACTGTCTGCATTGAGCAACTGATTCATCAACCTCTCCCTGTGCCTATGCCCCCTCCTACGCCACCCACTCCCTCCCTCCGCAAGTTCTCTCTCCCAACCCCAGGGCTACACGTGTGATGCACCGGACGAGGCTCTCACGCAATACACGACATACGATGCCAGTGGGGCGTGCCCTGACGACTGGTTCCCCCCACCCAGTCGCTCACCTTCCACCACCACTGCTTCCTGGTTCCGCCACCCCTTCTCATCTTTCCTGCTTCCCAATCCCTTGTTCTCCCCCCTCTTCCACCCCCCAGGGCTACACATGTGATGTGTCGTACGAGGCTCTCAGGCAATACACATCATATGACGCCAGTGGGCCATGCCCTGACGGCTGGTTCCCCACCCAGTCCCTCAGTCTCTTCTCCCCCCTCACTCTCATCTCTCTCTTAGGGCTACACGTGTGATGCATCAGACGAGGCTCTAAGGCAATACACATCGTATGATGCCAGTGGGGCGTGGCCTGACGACTGGTTCCCCACCCAGTCGCTCATCTTCCACCACCGCTGCTTCCAGGTTCCACCATTCCTTCCCCATCTCCCCCGTTACCCCTTCCCTTCCCTGTTTTTTCCTTTTTGTTAAAACCCCAGGGCTACACGTGTGATGCAGCAGACGAGGCTCTCACGCAATACACGACATACGATGCCAGTGGGGCGTGTCCTGACGACTGGTTCCCCACCCAGTCGCTCATCTTCCACCACCGCTGCTTCCAGGTTCCACCATTCCTTCCCCATCTCCCCCGTTACCCCTTCCCTTCCCTGTTTTTTCCTTTTTGTTAAAACCCCAGGGCTACACGTGTGATGCAGCAGACGAGGCTCTCAGGCAATACACGACATACGACGCCAGTGGGGCGTGTCCTGATGACTGGTTCCCCACCCAGGCCCTCATCTTCCACCACCACTGCCAGCTGATTCCACCACCCCTTCCCCTCTTCTGCTCCCCTCCTCCCCAGGGCTACACGTGTGATGCATCAGACGAGGCTCTCAGGCAATACACAACATACGACGCCAGTGGGGCGTGTCCTGATGACTGGTTCCCCACCCAGGCCCTCATCTTCCACCACCACTGCCAGCTGATTCCACCACCCCTTCCCCTCTTCTGCTCCCCTCCTCCCCAGGGCTACACGTGTGATGCAGCAGACGAGGCTCTCAGGCAATACACGACATACGACGCCAGTGGGGCGTGCCCTGACGACTGGTTTGCCACACAGTCGCTCATCTTCCACCATCGCTGCTTCTCCCTGCCGCAACGCCGCTGCCGCGCCCGCACCACCAACCAAACCATCAATGTGAGCCACGCATTAGCCTGTGAGCCACGCATTAGCCTGTGAGCCATGCATTAGCCTGTGAGCCACGCATTAGCCTGTGAGCCACGCATTAGCCTGTGAGCCATGCATTAGCCTGTGAGCCACGCATTAGCCTGTGAGCCATGCATTAGCCTGTGAGCCACGCATTAGCCTGTGAGCCATCTTGTCAACTCTCAAGGCATGGATACGCACGCACACTTACTTCCACTAAGGCACACCAGCCATGCAGCCAACGCTCATTGTCTACCCCAGTGGGACCACCATGTCTGCTCACTTGGTCCCCCTCCCCCAGTCTCTACCCTTTCCCGGGCACTCTTCAATCAGAGTGCACTCATAGACACGGCTCTAGTGTGGGGAGTTGACTTTTGAGTCGACTCAAAAGTCAACTCATAGACACGGCTCTAGTGTGGGGCCACCACGCCTGCTCTCCTTTCCTGGGGGACTGCCAAATCTGTTTGAACCCAACCCGACCTTTCTCCCTTCTCTGCCTTCCTCCATTTGTCTTCTCTTCTTCCCACTACCCCAGCCACTGCCCTTCCCCCAGGCGCTATTCAATCTGAGCGCCCTAATAGACACAGCCCTGGTGTGGGACCACCACGCCTGCTCCTCCTTCGCCTGCCTCAACGCCCGTGTGGTCGGGGACTGCCGCCTCTGCTTCAACCTCACTCTCGAGAGGAATCGCTGGCGCGTGCGATACCGGGGATCGTTGACTATAGAGGATGTGCTTAAAATGAAGCAGGGAAGCATCAGGTGGGTGGGATGTAAATACAGACCACAAACATTACATTCTCTCTAGTCTTGGCCTGGACATCGGAGGAGGCACAGGCAGTTTGCAGTGCACATGGCACTCTCTACATTGCGACCATTCTGACCACATGCCTCCCCTCCCCCTCCTCCTGTCCCATTTTCCCTTACCCCGTGGTTGCAGGCTCGGTTTGGACATTGGAGGTGGCACAGGAAGCTTTGCGGCGCACATGGGCCTCTACAATGTGACCATCCTCACCACGTGCCGCCCCTTCCTTGCACTCTTCACCCCACCTCCATCCATTCTGTAGGCTCGGTTTGGACATTGGAGGTGGCACAGGAAGCTTTGCGGCGCACATGGCCCTCTACAATGTGACCATCCTCACCACGTGCCTCCCCTTCCTTGCACTCTTCACCCCACCTCCATCCATTCTGTAGGCTCGGTTTGGACATTGGAGGTGGCACAGGAAGCTTTGCGGCGCACATGGCCCTCTACAATGTGACCATCCTCACCACGTGCCTCCCCTTCCTTGCACTCTTCACCCCACCTCCATCCATTCTGTAGGCTCGGTTTGGACATTGGAGGTGGCACAGGAAGCTTTGCGGCGCACATGGCCCTCTACAATGTGACCATCCTCACCACGGCCATGAACGTGGAGACCGTGGTGGGGCGCAAGCAGGGGCTTCCATACATGGAGGCCATAGCTTTAAGGGGACTCATTCCCCTGCACCTGCCACACAAGGTGGGTGGGTGGGTTGTGGGCTGTGGGCTGTGTGGTGTGGGCTGTAAACCTTGGCAGCATCCTCACGACGGCGATGAACGTGGAGACAGTGGTGGGGCGCAAGCAGGGGTTGCCTTACATGGAGGTCATTGCTCTAGGAGGGCTCATTCGTCTCCATTTACCACACAAAGTGAGTGGGCTATGGGCTTTGGGCTGTAGGCTGTGTGCTGTTTGTGAAGAGCCTTGCGACCATCCTCACCACGGCGATGAACGTGGAGACAGTGGTGGGGCGCAAGCAGGGGTGGCCTGCCATACATGGTGATCGAGGCGATAGCTTTAAGAGGGTTGATCCCCCTGCACCTTCCACACAAGGTGAGCGTGGCTCTGGGCTATGCGCTGTGGGCTGTGATGATTGATCTCTCGGCTGTGTGCTATAAGCCTTGTGACCATCCTCCCCACGGCCATGAACGTGGAGACAGTGGTGGGGCGCAAGCAGGGGCTTCCATACATGGAGCCAATTGCCTTGAGAGGACTGATTCCCCTGCATTTATTGCCACACAAGGTGAGTGGGTTGCTGTGTGCTGTGTGGCATGCGCTGCCCTCTGTACCCTACAAACATGGCCTTCTACAGCGTCATCACTGCCCATCCTCATGACCATCCTCCCCACGGCCATGAACGTGGAGACTGTGGTGGGGCGCAAGCATGGGCTGCCATGCATGGAGGCGATTGCCTTGAGAGGGCTCATCGATCTCCATTTGCTACACAAGGTAGATGTGCTGTTGTCTCCTTCCCTCTCCTCTCCTCATTTCCCCTCTCTCCCTGTCCTCCCATCAGCTTTTGAGTCGACTCAAAAGCAGATGTGCTGTTGTCTCCTTCCCTCTCTCCTCTCCTCATTTCCCCTCTCTCCCTGTCCTCCCATCAGCTTTTGAGTCGACTCAAAAGCAGATGTGCTGTTGTCTCCTTCCCTCTCTCCTCTCCTCATTTCCCCTCTCTCCCTGTCCTCCCATCAGCTTTTGTCTTCCCTTTCGACTCAAAAGCCCTCTCTCCCTGTCCTCCCATCAGGCCCGCCTACCCTTCTTTGACGGCTCATCAGGCATCATTCACAGCGTCAACAGCGTCAAGTGGCCCTCTTTCCTTCCTCCTTCCTCCCTGCTCTCTGTGTCTCTTATCAGGCTCGTCTACCCTTCTTCAACGGCGAGTTGGACATCATTCACAGCGTCAACAGCGTCAAGTACCATCTCCCTCTCTCCATGATCCATCCCCCCTCCTACCATTCCCTCTCTCGCTCGTTCCCCCTCATCAGGCCCGCCTGCCCTTCTTTGACGGCGCATTGGACATCATTCACAGCGTCAACAGTGTCAAGTACCTGCCCATGCTGGAGTTTGAAGAGATGCTCTTTGAGTGGGACCGCGTGCTCAGAGTTGGTAAGTCCTTTTGCTGGTAACCATGTGGTAACCGTGTCATCCCATGCACTCCGCAGCATCAACAGCGTCAAGTACCTGCCCGTGGTGGAGTTTGAAGAGATGCTCTTCGAGTGGGACCGTGTGTTACGAGTTGGTGAGTCTTTACATCGGTAACCATGTGTTAACCAAGTGGTAACCAAGTGGTAACCATGGGTATCATTCCCTTAACAGAACAGTGTGATCAGTGTCAAGTACCCATGGTTACACTGATGGCCATGCTCGAACATTGAAGGGATGCTCTTCGAGTGGGAGGGACTGTGTGCTCAGAGTTGGTAAATTCTTCACAGTACCTTGCCATATGGTAACTGTACGTGTGGTATGCACTTGGTAGTGTCAACAGCGTCAAGTACCTGCCCATGCTGGAGTTTGAAGAGCTTCTCTTCGTGTGGGACCGCGTGCTAAGAGTCCGTGAGTCCTTACATTGGTAACCAAGTGGTAACCGTGTTACAACCATTCCCTTCACAGCGTCAACAGCGTCAAGTACCTGCCCATGCTCGATTTTGAAGAGCTGCTCTTTGAGTGGAACCGCGTGCTCAGAGTCAGTGAGCCTTTTTAGAAACCTCCTTATGCTAGTAACCATTCAGACTTGAATGGGGTGGTGCGACTAGATGGAGGATGGGATTAGGTTGCGCCTCTGGACGAGTCCCCAGTGTATGTCCCCATTCTCAATCTCCTCAGCTATGACCGACTGCTCCAGGGTGTTTTTGAGAATTCTCAAAAGAGTGTTTTTGAGAAGTCTCAAAAGCACCCTGTCGCCATTTTCAATCTCCTCAGCTATAACCGACTGCACTGGCGTGTAGAGGGGCATAAGGGGCCTTGCGTGCGCTCTCCTCCTTCCCCCTCTCTCGCTCCCAGGTAGTGTCGTTTGGCTCCTCCAGACCCAGCAGAACGCAAGGGGCCTCATGTGTACCTGAATTGGCGGCGTATGCTGCCAAAGCCAAAAGACCTGAGGGATTCAAAAGGGCCTCATGTTTATCCCCCTTCCCCTGTTTACCCCCTTCCCCCCTGTCGCTCCCAGGTGGTGTCATCTAGGGATGAGCAAGTGGCGAACACGAACATGTTCGTGTTCGCCCCTAGACGAACACATCCGTTTGCCGAACCGAACACTGTTCGGTTCGGCGAACACTTTAAGCAAAAACTCGTGTTCGCCGTTCGCCTGTGAAGGCGTGTTCGGGCGAACCTCGAACACGTTCGTGTTCGTCGCGGGGCAAATTGCAGCAGCGGCCCGAACACGAACGTGTTCGGGCGAACATCGAACACTGTTCAGCGAACAATTTAAGCAAAAAAAACAAACCTGTTCGGTTCGCCTCGAAACAGGTGTTCGCCCTTGTGCTCATGTCTGGCGTCATCTGGCTGGAGATGTTCTATGTTCCCCTTGACGAGTTCCCAGTGTATGTCGCAATCCTCCATCTCCTCGGCTACAATCGCCTGCACTGGCGCGTGCTGCCCTCCCCTTCCCTCCCCTGCCCTCCCCCACCTTCAGGTGGTGTGATCTGGCTGGAGATGTTTTACGCCCCTCTGGACGAGTTTCCGGTCTATGTGGCTATCCTCAATCTCCTCGGCTATAACCACCTGCACTGGCGTGTGCTGCCCTCCCCTTCCCTCCCCTGCCCTCCCCCACCTTCAGGTGGTGTGATCTGGCTGGAGATGTTTTACGCCCCTCTGGACGAGTTTCCGGTCTATGTCGCCATCCTCAACCTCCTCAGCTACAACCGCCTGCACTGGCGTGTGCTGCCCAAACCAGACCCGGGGGAACGCAAAGGGCCTCATGTGTACCTGAACTGCCTGCTGGAGAAGCCGGTTAGACGAGAAGAGGGGTGGGTGGAGGCTGGGAGGGATGAAGGGCGAGGAGAGGAGGAGGGGGGGAGAGAAGTTGGGGGGAGGGAAGGGGGGACGAGTGAGGAGACGGGAGGGAAGGAGGAGGGAATGGAGAGAGAAGTGGGGGGAAGGGAGGAAGGAGGAAGAAGAGAGGAGGGGAGAAGAGAGGGTTCGAGTAATCATCGTTCAGAGGGAGACGTTGAGAAAGGAAGGAGGATTGAAGGGGAAGGCATAGGAGAAGGAAGCAGGCAATGGGGGGCTGAGGAGGACAGAAAAAGGGATGAGAGGAATGGGAAGATGGAGAGGAAGGAGGAGGAGAGGAAAGAAGAGGCGGTGAAGGAAGATTCAAATAGAACTGAAGAGCGTGGAAGAGAGGAAGAGAGGAGAGAGGAGAGAAGAGAAAGGAGAAGAGAATATGGGAGTGAAGAGTGGAATGAAGAGGTGGTTGAAGAGGCGGGGACGAGCATAGAGAAATTTGCAAGAGAGTGGTACAGGGAGGAAGAGGGAAGCAGAGAAACAGAGGGAAGCAGGGAAAATGGCGGAAGCAGGGAGCAAGGGGCAGCCAGGGAGGAGGAGATTCAAACTGCCAAAGAAAAGGAGGAACGTCAACGCTTGCTTGCGAGGTTGCAGCAGACGAGGGAGAGGAAGGCGTGGTGGCGGTGGTTTGGAAGATGAATCTGGCTGGGGGAAGAAGCCCTTTAGAGTCTATCGAGACCTCGTTGTTCATTGAGAACCAGGGCCGTCGTGGTGTGAGGAGGATTATACGGATGGAGGGAGAGGAAGGCGTGGTGCCGGTGGTTCGGAAGATGACTCTGGCTGGGGGAAGGAGCTCTTCGGAGTTCATCGAACACCCAAGGATGGAGCATCCAAGGTCATCGTGGTTTTTGAGAAGTCTCAAAAGAGGAAGAGTGCAAGGGATGGAGGGAGAGGAAGGCGTGGTGGCGGTGGTTCGGAAGATGACTCTGGCTTTGGGAAGAAGCCCTTCAGAGTTCATCGAACATCCAAGGATGGAGCATCCAAGGTCATCGTGGTTTTTGAGAAGTCTCAAAAGAGGAAGAGTGCAAGGGATGGAGGGAGAGGAAGGCGTGGTGGCGGTGGTTCGGAAGATGACTCTGGCTTTGGGAAGAAGCCCTTCAGAGTTCATGGAACATCCAAGGATGGAGCATCCAAGGTCATCGTGGTTTTTGAGAAGTCTCAAAAGAGGAAGAGTGCAAGGGATGGAGGGAGAGGAAGGCGTGGTGGCGGTGGTTCGGAAGATGACTCTGGCTTTGGGAAGAAGCCCTTCAGAGTTCATCGAACATCCAAGGATGGAGCATCCAAGGTCATCGTGGTTTTTGAGAAGTCTCAAAAGAGGAAGAGTGCAAGGGATAGAGGGAGAGGAAGGAGTGGTGGCGGTGGTTCGGAAGATGACTCTGGCTGGGGGAAGGAGCTCTTCGGAGTTCGTTGAGCACCCAAGGATGGAGCATCCAAGGTCATCGTGGTTTTATAGACGTCTCAACAGCGGAAGAGTGCAAGGGATAGAGGGAGAGGAAGGAGTGGTGGCGGTGGTTCGAAAGATGACTCTGGCTGGGGGAAGAAGCCCTTCAGAGTTCATCGAACATCTCAAATGGATGAGAAGGGGGCCGAATGTATCTGTGCAGATGATGGAGACAGAATCCTGGTGCTACGTGTATGAAGAAGTGTTTTGAGACGTCTCAAAATGCGCTCCTGGAAGAAGTGTTTTGATACAGATGTATCTGTGCAGATGATGGAGACAGAATCCTGGTGCTGCTCGATGCACCGGTCTTTTGTGCTGCAGAAGCCAGCTCAGGTGAGAAGGGGGAGAGGGGGGGGCGGGGGGGAGGGGGAGAGGGGGGGGAAATGGGTTGACATGAGGGTGGGGGTCTTTGAGGACAGGGCAAGGAGTGGGCTAGGAGCTTTGTGAGGCATCTCAAATGTCGTCTCTTGAGGCGCCTCCAAAGAGACGACGTTTGAGTTTACTCAAAAATCGGAGGTTGGTTTGGTTGGTCTGCCCCCTTGTTTGGTGTCCAAGTTTAGAGGTGAATCGGAGCATGTGTTGCTCAGATCAGCCCATCGAAGCATGTGCTTACTGGATGTCAATTCATGGATTTGTGTGGTGTGTGGGCATGTGCAGGTAGGGTGCTCTTCCAAACTGGGAGTGGTTGTAGTCCTTTGGATAGGAAACTTTGGTTATGTGTGTATGATGGATTGGATTACGGAAACAGGTGTTATTTGTTCGGGTTGAATGACCTTGCAAACGCGGTGGGGTCATGTTACTCTCATACAGGGCCTCAGATTCACTTTTAGGGACGTTGATGCATCAGGGTCCCTATTTAAACAAGGCTGGAAATCAGTGTTCCTAAAATTAAAGTCTGAATTTTCAGGGTTTCTTCTAAATAATGCCTGATTTCACTCAGGCATATCTGAGATCAAAGTGCACGCCTCAAGACTCAAACCGTAGACTTTACCCTCCAACAGAAAATTCGCTAACAACCAGGCCCTCAGATTCACTTTTAGGGTCGTCAACCCATCAGGGTCCCCCTGTGTGTCAGCTCTGATTGACAGTGTAAAAAAAAAAAAAAAAAAAAAAAAAAAAAAAAAAAAAAAAAAAAAACAGGCTTAGCCTAAAACTACCCTGCTCAAATCAGACTAGTGGTACATTTACCCTGCTGAAAACAGGGTATGAAATGTTTTACCCTAGGGGTCTGGTTAGGCTGTTACCCTGATTCGTAAGGGTAGGCCTAAACCAATTTTGGGCCCAGGCAGCAGGGCTTACTTTATCAGAAATTTCTGGTCTGAATTTCTGGATTCTGAACACATTTTTACTGGTTCATCTGATGCCGTAGACATGCTGTTTAATTTCGTCTGATTTTTTTAGAGAAGCTTTTTCTATTCATCTGATTTCTCAGACAGCCTTATACAGTTCGTCTGAGACTGCAGATATCGAGTCTTTTTCGAATGAAGGCAAAACTCTCAGGAAGCTGATGACAAGATTCGAACTGGAAATCTCAATCTTCACTACTCCATGTTCTACTTACTGGGCCACAAGAACATCACTGCCTATACTTAACTGTAAAATGAATATTTGAAAATACATTGCTTGCTAGCATTATATCTTCTCAGACAAGTATTTAAGATTCGTCTGAAAGGCTAGACAAGGTTACAGATTTCGTCTGACAATCAGACAAGGAGCCAGGACCCGGTCTTGACATCAGACGGGTCATTTTACTAAAGTTAGCCCTGCTTGGCAGCCCTCCAGCACCACATGGTGGCCATGTTCGGATTGGCCAAGACTGACTGCTGCAGCGAAACTGCTGATATAACCAAGGATCCAGTGGATAGGATAGAATCTGTTAAGTTTGAGAGGAGACAATGAAGTCTCTGTAGTGACCTTGTTGAATAATGATTGAAAGAGAACAAGATGATTGAAAGATAGGAGTACAAGGGATAAAATAGAAATCTAGCTAGCCATGTACTCTTAGGGGTACATTCCCTTATTAACTGTATTGCATAGCTACAGTTACCGTGACTATTGCTATCCTCGACAGTAACCATGTTGCAGTGAATTAACTGTCGCGCGGTTACTGGATTGTCAAGGGTCACGACCGTTGATTTCCTCAGACGGTTGACCTTCGGGTGACCCTCGACATTCCGCATGCTCTATATGAGCTATTGCGGTACTGGTACAGTGGAACAGCTTTGGGAATGCTTTATGTAACCTTTCGGTTATTCCAACACTCCCCTTCATTCCTGAAGGTGGGCCACGTGGGATTTCTTGGTGATCCCGCAGAGGTCGGCGTAGCGTTGGTACTTCTGATGTGGCAGCTTCTTCGTCAAGAAATCAGCTGCCATGTCACCGATCGAGCAGTACATCAGCTTGACTTTCCCTTTGTCGATTTTATCCTTCACGAAGAAGTAGCGAAGGGCGATGTGCTTGGTGCGGTTGAAGAAGTCGGGCTTGTTCGCGATCTTTATCGCGCTCTGATTATCGCAGAGTAACGTGAAGTGCCCGTTCATCGTCACTTTCGCTTCTTGCAGGAGCTCCACCAGGTACAGTCCTTCGCGAACAGCTGCGCTAGCTGCGATGAATTCTGCTTCTGCTGACGAGAGAGCGATAAGTTCCTACTTCTGAGAGTTCCAGGAGATGAGTCCCGCTGGTTGGAGTTGAAAAATGAATCCTGTACGGGAGCGTCGGTTGTCAACATCTCCAGCGTGGTCGGCATCTACGTAGCCATGGAGCTGTAGAGTAGCGGTGAGATTAGCTTCGTAGGTGAGACCGACGTCGGGAGTGGAGATGAAGTACTGTAGTGCTCGGCGTAGATCCAGTAGATTCTCCCCTTCAGGTCGCTTCAGGTACTGTGCGAGCTGGCTTGCGACGTAGGAGAGATCGGGCCGGCACGTGACGGCGGCGAGCAGGAGACATCCCAGCTGCTGCTGATAGAGACGATGGTTGTCGGGAGAGAGCGGTGTGGTGTCTGGCTCGTGGTTAGGAGGAGTGCAATAGGGGGTAGTGAGGTTGATTGGTGCGATGGAGAAGCGCTTCGCGAGTGTTTAGGCGTACTTGGCGGCGGAGAGGTGAATTCAAGAGGCGGACTGAGTCACATTGAGGTCGAGAAACTGGGTGACGTTGTGGTTGATTGTCACCTCCAGTTTCTCTTTGATGTCAGCCTCAAACTGGTCCAGCAGCTCCGTGTCGTCGCCGGTGTAGAGAAGGTCGTCGACGTAGGCGATGAGGAGTACGAATTTCCTGCGCGATTCCCGCCTGTACATTCCGAGGTCGTGCTGCAGCTGAGTGAAGCCGATCTCAAGGAGGACGGAATGGAGGTACTGCTGCCATAAACGAGGCGCCTGCTTGATCCCGTAGAGGGATTTTTGGAGGAGGCACACGGCGCCATCATTTTCTTCGAATGCGTGCGGCTGCTCGACGAAAATGATGGCATCGACGGGAGCGTAGAGGAAGGCGCTGCCGACGTCGATTTCCCGGAGCGGTCGCTATTTGACGGCGGCGATGCAGATGAGAATGCGTACCGAGGTGTGGCGGCTGACTGGAGCGTAGGTGAGAGTGAAATCCACCAGGTGTGTTTGCTCAAATCCCCGCACTACCCAACGCGCCTTGTACTTGTCGACCGAGCCATCTGCGACAGTTATGATACGAAAAACCCATTTGCCGCTGAGAAATTTTCTCCCCTTTGGCGATGACCGAGGGACCAACTTCCAGGTGCCACGATTCTTCAGCGATGCGATTTCGGCGGCCATGGCAACTTTCCATTTTACATTGTCGGGGCCAGATAGGGCTTGGCGGACGGTGGTTGGTTCCTTGGGCGAAGTGCAGCGAACAGCGACGGCGAGGCCGAGAACGCGGAGACCGGTTTCGTCAGTCTTTACATAGTGAAGTCGGTCATAGTCGTGGAAGCTGGTAACTTCGACCACGTCGTCATCGCTGTCGTTGCCGAGGCGGAGGGTATCTTGCGACATGTTGGGTTGTGGTAACTCGGCATCAGGTGATCGGCGCGCCTCACTGTTGTAGTCATGAGCCGCGCGAGTGTCAGTAGAGCTACACTGTGAGATCCCCGATCGATCCTAGAGGGGTTACAGGCGCGTTTGCCTGGGGGGTTATGGGCGCACTGACCCGCTACTGAAACAAGCCCTTTTATCCCAATGGTAGTGGTTGGGATTCTCACAGCGAGTTGTATCGTTAGGATCGGGTTGGTGTAGAGGTACGAATATCGGAGTCCCAAATTGGCTTGTGAGGGGGATGCTCGGAGCGGTGTCCATTGAAAAAATGAGAACGAGAATGAATGAACTATGAATGAACTGAGTACAAGTACTAACCCTAATTGGGTTGTACCCCTTGTGGGCTACCCCACTATAGCCTACACAATATGCAAAAGCTATATGTTCCGACACACCCCCATAGGCAAAGTGGGGGAGAACAAGGGGTCACAAGACCAGTCAAGCAAAGCAAAGCAAAGCAAGCTCAGGGTGGATCACAAAGTCACCACACAGTCCGAGCAGAAGGTCAAGGCCACAAGGCCAGTTCACATGCAGGGGTAGACAGATATATATAAGGCTAAACAAGTAGGAGCAGGTATATATATATATGTATATATATATATATATATGCAAGAGTACAAGCAAGGTCAAGAGGTGAGCAAGTGAGGCAAGACTGGGACAAGTCCCAGCTGAGTGCAGAAGCGCTGATGATCACAAGGCGGAAGTGCCTTGGTGAAAACATCAGCAGTGTTGGCCTCAGAGGCCGCGTACGCAAGTCGCAACTGACCACGCTGCTGCAGCTCACGAGCAAGAAAGTAGCGGAGAGCAATGTGCTTCGTTCTGTGCTCCACGCGCTACTCACGACACAAGGCCAGCATGGCCTTGTTGTCTACGTACAGCACTGGAGGAGAACGAGGCGACTCTCCAAGGTCGGTCAGCAGGTAGGTGAGTCAG